ATGATGTTCTTGTTTTCTTCTGAAGGGTGTTTTTAAAATTCAACTCACAGAGTCAGCCTGTTGTCAGCATCAGGACAAAGCAGCCCATTATTTTCAAAAGCAGTCTTCCCAACCTGCTACTTTCCACATGTAGTAGATGTAATTTCCCAGAATGCTGAGAGAGCATTTCTTATTGTTTATTATTATCTCAGCACTTGACTGAGTTTGTCTGAACTTGAAAACTAAGAAAAGCTAGCCAGTACTTGGATGGGAGACGATTCGCAAATTCCAGAATTGTGGGCTAGACAGGGAAGTTGAAAAAGAAGGCAGTAGCAAGCCAGATCAACAAGACTTCCAAGAAAACTGTACAACTGAATTCATGTTGCCCGTAGGAGGGTGTCTATCTTTTTAATGGACACACACAGTAAGGTGTTAATAGTTAATAGTCAAGGTGTTAATACGGTTCTGTTTTGTAACTTGTTTTGATGCAATCCTTTGGCTCCTGGAAGGATATCCAAAGAGTGCAGAACATTCTGAAGGAGACCAATAGAGATCCACAACCAAAGAAGATTGTCTTCTTTGGTGATGTTGTTGTAGCAGGGGTTTAATCCTATCTCCCATTAGTGTTCAGACAATAGTGGGAGGAAGATGGATATCCAGGAGTAAATAAAATGATTTTGGACACTCAAGACTCAAAGTTGTCCCATTTCCCAGCTATTGTCTTGATGGAAAGAAAATATGAGCACCCGGGAGTTATCTTTTCTGCTCACTCAGCCAACATAAGCCCAGCAAGATTTTGGAAATGTCAGTTGTTTTTCTACCACTCATTCCAACCCCACCTCCAAAGACAGCTGTATGGTAAGATTTAAAATGAACATTTAAAAAAGAAAATAACTACTGAAAATCCACTCTAAAACATCTGAAGTCACCTCCTATGCAAAATAACAAGCACATCTTTTGTGATGCAGTGGAGTTTGAACTGAACAGCCTTGGCATTAGGCAAGATATTCTGTGCTTTATTTAGCACATTGTACAGTACGTGTGTATCATGTCCTCAGTGTGCCAGGACTCAGAACTGAATTTAATGGAAGCTGCTTGGAGTAAAATCCACAAATCATTGAAAGCTAATTTACTGGCATTTAACCAACTGATGGCTCAGTCCTCTGGATAAAGTATTCTTTGGTTTTCCTCCAGTACACTTTAGCAAGGATGAAGAACCAGGACTAATCATGTGGGAGGCTGAAGCTGTAGTGCATCAACATCTAAAGGGTTGCCATTTCTGATGTATTAGATAGTTTTGAGATTACCAATAGAAGAGAATAGATTTATTTCAGGGTTGAACTGTGGACTCCTTGGTGCTCTCTGAGCTTGGTTGTTTGATTGCAGATGTTTCATTACCCCGCGCTGGTGTAAAAGCAACACGCCGACTCTCCACATGAGAGTTTCGCCAGCACATGAAAAAAGCGCACCAAAACACCCCCCGCCACA